AACCTCCCCGTAAATCTATTTTCGAAAAGACTCGTGCTGTTCGCAGTTGGTCGATCAGTTCGTCGGCGCGGGGGATGGGGTATCGCGATTTGACTGTTACCCTGTTAAGCGCTCGGTAGTCGATGCACATGCGGAACCCTCCGTCTTTTTTCGGTGTGAACAGTATCGGTGCGGCGAACGGTGACGAGCTCGGTCGGATAAACTGCTTCTCTAACAGGTAATCTAACTGCTTCCTTAACTCGTCGAGCTCGGGCTGTGTCATTCGAAATTGCCGCTGTACAGCTGGCTGTGCCCCCGGTTCTAACTCGATCCTATGGTCGTGCGCCCGCTGAGGTGGCAGTCCCTGTGGTAAATCATCCGGAAATATCCCCGGGAACTGTTTCAGTAGTGCCTGTAGTTCGGTCGGTACAGTTGCCAACAGTTTCTCCAAATCACTCGGCTGCTCATCATTTTCTACGAGTGCGATATCCACTGCGTACACGTCAGCTCCAGCAGCGACAGCCCGTTTCATCGTGATGGCGTTGACCTGGACCGTCGAAGATTTGGGTGGCTGCCAGCGAGGTAGAAAGACCCAGTTACCACTACTTCGCACTGTGCAGCTCCCCGTCGTCCAGTCGATCCGTGGGTTGTACCGTCGCAGCCAATCACGTCCCAATAAAATGTCGTGCCCATCCAGTGTCGTCGCGAGCATTTCCTGTGTAAACCCGAAGTTCCCCCCGCAGCGGACTTTTACGCGCTCCACCTTTTCCCGTATGGCCAGGGGCGTGCCGTCGACTAAGCGTGCATCTATCTCAGGTAAACATCGGTTAAGCGTTAACTGTAATTTTCGTGCGGTTGCGGTATTAACTAAGCTGTGGCTTGCTCCTCCGTCAATGAAGATCTTCACTGCTGCTCCCTGTATTTTCCCGTAGATCAGTACCGGGCAATCCGTCGCTGTACCCTCCTTATTCATCCGAGCCCGATCGATGGCGTGAATCGGTACTGTGACTCGGTGAGGGTCGGTGTGGTTGGGCGAGCAGGCAGTCTCGTCAGTAGTTGGCCCAACTTCTACTGACTGCTGGCGTTTCCCTGCCTCCGAGACTCCCTCCCCTGCTCTGCTCCTCGACGCCTCAGCTCCTCTGGACATTCGATCTTGCGATGGCCCGGCCGGTTGCAAGCAAAGCAGCGCCCTCTAAACGGCGCGGCAGCTGCATTCGCTGCGACGGCATGTACAGTGGCGTGCTCGGTCGGTCCCCGAGGACGATGTCCGTAATAGGACCCCGGTCTCGGTCGGCGTAGGATATCGATTTTCTCGGCGAGCGCGAGGATCTCGTTGAAATTCGAGAGCCCGCGTAGCATTATCTCGTGCGAGATGTCCGGCTTCAGCCCTCCGACGTAACGGTCCACCCGCTCCGCCTCGTGCATGTAGCCGACCTGTTCGCAAAGTGCGAGAAACCCGCTGGTGTAGTCTTCAACTGACCCGAGCTGGCGCCAAGTGCGCAGTTTCTGATGCGCCGAAATCGAGGCCGCGATCGGCTCAAAGCGCGCCCGAAGCCCTGCGCACCACGCATCCCACGTGCTGTATTGGGCGGTTTCGCAGAACGAACTCCAGGTAACAGCTAGACCCGTGGGCCCTTCCTCGTGCGACGGTGGCTCGTAGGCGCGTGGCGACGTCACGATGACTCGCCACCAGTCCATGGCGGGGCCCCTGAGTAGTGAAACCGCATACCGGATCTTGGCGGCGTCCGACTCGACGTAGTTGGCGTCGAAAAACACATTCATCGTGAAGACCCACGATTGAACTGTCGGGCCGCCGCGTTGGCTTGGGTCAAAGCAGGGCGGGCGTTGCGGCTTGAGTGGCATTGGGGCCATCATGGCGTTCTCGCCACTTGTCGCCGCAAACTCCACGTGCCGATGGGCTTCTCGGGGCTCCCGTGGGCTTAATGCGCTCCTGTTTCCTCCCATGCCGGGCATCGGTTGGGCTGCGCCGTCACTGGCTGCGCCTGAGCGCTGTCCCGTGCTATTGTGTTGCGTTGGTGTGCCGGATGAGATGACGATGGGCTCCTCCGAATGTGCAGATGCATTGGTTGGTGCGTGTGATGTCGTCGGTACGTTCACCGTTGACTGTTGACGGGCGGAGTCACGTTCCGCCGTGAGAGTCGCGATTTCGAGCGCCGAATCCTCCAATTGACGCACAAGACGATCGAGTTGCTCCTGCGTCAACGTGGCGAGATTGAAATCGGCCATGGCGGGGGTGTCGGGCAAGCTCAGCGAGAGCCTCGGTCGTGGCCGTGCGTGCTTTCGAGAGAGCACTACGAGCGGCGGTGCTGTGTCGCTGAGAGACGTCTACCCCCCCCAAAAATTGAGATAGTGGGAAGCGAAGGTGTGGATGCGGTCCGAGATGAGATCGTAGGCTCTGAAACCAAGTGTTACGAGTGCAATTGAGTGGACGAACGAGAATTGCACTATCGAAGCAAGAATACAAATGAGCGAAGGCATGAGCGAACATTATATAGCGAAACTACAGTGGTAACGGTAATGGTCGTGCGACGAGCCTGGGACTGAGGTTGGGAAAGTGTCGAAGCGTAGGTCCGGAGCGCGGGTTACCAGCCGAGCCGTGAGGTCGGGATGCGATGTGCGAAAAGGGCGGGATGATGAATGATGCGATGGTCGCGAGTGGTAACGGTGCTGACTGAGGTGCTACAGTGATGTACGCGTTGAGCAGGGACGCGAAGTAAGGAAAAGGGAATTTCCTTACAGATTGTAATTAGTCTTTGTCAATCCGCTCGAAGATCTGTACTGGCTTGCCTCAACAACACTCAACAGGAATACTCGGGTTCATATCTAGGATGGGATGGTGGTTGGCCAATGTGTGGGCTTCGCGCCATTCACCAACGGCACAGCCGCTTCCGCCAGAAAATTTGGCGCAAAGCAACCAGCCCAGCTCCACGCGATGTTGTCAGCCGTCGATGGACAATCGACAGCTAACCGCAGCCAATCCGCTGAAAGATCGCCCGGTAATAGAACACCGCGAATGGAGAATCATGCAGGATGATCACGCGAGTGCCAGCTTGAGGGAACATCAGCAGCCTGCACCTGCCGCTGGGACATCCTCTCATATTCTACTTCGCCTTTCCTGTCTACATGCATGGTGCTAATGGCGGTTGCTAACTCACACTTGACATTGCCGCAACCAAACCAGAAGTAACTGGACGGAAGGAGTCAGGGGTGCTACGACTCTACGGCAGCTGCTCACGCCTGGTCGTTCACCTAGCTAAACCAGCCGCTAAATTTGCCGCACTTAGTCACACCAGACGACTGGTTCGGCTTCACTAAGTAGGCCACGTCCCTCAATAGTCAATTTTGGTGCTTTCTGGCGTAAAGCCCCTCGACGTGCAACTAGGTAATCTTTTTCCTTGTTAATCGGCAAAGGTAGCGCGAACCGCGGCGGCAGCATGCGAGTCCCTCCGTCGCGAGTTGTCGCGCCGTACCCGATGGACTCGCGAGGCGCGAAGGAACAGACAGGACCGAAGAATGACAGCGGAAACTGCGAAACATTTCTTCCCATTTTCGGTACAGTCACACCCGATTTTATCACGAGCCAAGGCCGGTTGCCAAGTCCGCTCGTCTTTCTCGTGCGAGCCTGCGGCGACGGTGCCGCGAATACCAACTCTCTCGGTAGTAGTAGCAACAATAGCAGCGAAAGCAACGGTGGAAGCCATAGCAGTGGCAGCAGCGAGGGGAATCGTGCCTTAGACGAAAGCCAAGGGCCCTCGGTGAAGTGCGGGAGGCAATGCGGCGGGATGGAGTGCGGTGGGAGGGAGTGCGAGGGGCTGGAGGTGCTGGTGTCGGACTTCTGCGGCAGCTCGTGGCGCACGCGGCTGTCGCGAGACGACCTTGAAGACGAGGTGCGGCAGCTTGCCTTTCAATGCACAAATGGCGGGCAGCTGCTGGTGCAGTAGCTCTTAGTGTGGCAGCTCCTAATGCGATAGCTCCCGCGGCAGTCTTTCTTAGCTCTTGCGACATTGGTAGCTCCTTGGCAGATCCAAAAAAGCGATCGAGTCGCCTCAAACATAGGCAGCTCCTAGTCCAGCAGCTAGTATGGTTGCACAAATCCGTTTCGCAAAAGTACTTAGTTGGAGTGATTTCTTGAAAAAAATCGATATTTTTTTATCCGTCAATGCTTTCGTTTCTGGCTCGCGGCTTTCGTCATGATTTCCGGTACAGCGGACTTTCTGACAGCCTGACAAAATTTTCCCCCGTCCGATCTGCCATTGCCATTCTTGGACGGCGCGCGCCGTGCAGAAGGACGACCTCGGAGTGGGTAAGAGCTTCGCGGACTTCCTCGCGTTGATCCAAGTGTCGCTCTCCTCGCGCCACGTTACTGTCACACCCGCTCTCGCCCGAGCGCGACCCAACCAAGGTAACTCTCATCATCGCTACTAGGTATGGGCTCCACCGCTTTACCCCACAGCCGCCTCTTAAAAGGCTTGCTCGCCTATGTTTATGCCCGTCCGTCAGTTGCTATCAGTTCTTCTTTTGCGTGTCTAATATCACTGCTCTTTCCCGTCCGTTATGATCTAAAATCTTGGCCGTCCGATTCTACCCTTCCATCTGCTCACTCCAATCGCAGCGCCCCTGCCCGCCAGTCATTCCCCCGCCCTCGATACAATCACGCTCACGGGCCAAAAGGAGGAAGGCGCTCCGCGAATCAGATTTAAACTAAAGCGAGTGGATTGGCCGGGAAGAGACGCCGGAGAAGGGGAGGGGAAAACTGACGCTGGCTTGGAACAACCGTTGATCTCACACTCGCACTCGTTACAGTCACACACATTACAGTCATCCTCGTTAGAAGCAATCGAGTCAGCAACGTCCCCAGCCTCGTCGTCCCTGTTCCCGTCGTGCAAATCAGTGGCGGCGGAAATCGCGTTCGCGCTCGTGAGGGAGCGACTGCAGCTGGAGAAGACGCTTAGACGAGGTGAGCGAGCGGGCCGAGGGGAGGGGATGGGAGGAGCAAGCGAATGCGGCTGGTTTTTGAGTCGAATCAAACATGTCAAATCGCGTTCGCGCTTGTGAGGGACCGACTGCAGCTGGAAAAGACGCTTCGACGAGGTGAGCGAGCGGGCAAAGGGGAACGGGAGGAAGGGGATGACGGGCGGGACCGACTCCTGTTGGAGAAGACTCTTAGACGAGGTGATCGAGGGGCGGTGGAAGGGAGTGGATGGAAAAAGGGGGAGCAAACGATATGAGGCTGTTTCTTTAGTCGACTCTAGAGTCATCTCGAATCAGGGGCAGCGGGAAGCGCGTTTGCGGTTGTGAGAAATCGACTCGAGTGGGAAAAGATTCTTAGACGAGGTGGGTGAAGGGAGGGGAGGGGAGGGGAGGGAAGAGAAGGCGGCGACTGGCGGTTATGAGAGCGGGCATGAGTTAACGCCCATGTGTTTTTTCACAAATAGGCTGTAGAGAGGGTGTTTCTGCCAGCACAGTCACGATGGTTCGGCCTTTCCCTTCTTCCTCCCCTCCCTTGCCTTATCCCCTCTGACTTATGTGTTCCCCCCTCACTCAGAGCGCGCCAAGCACGTGAGGCAAATGGCAGAGGTGGAGAAAGAGAAGGTAAGCTTTGGGCGGGCGAGCGGGTGGCATGGAGGGCACGGGTAACTTGATTTCAGATTCGCTAGTGTTGGTGCAGCAGGAGAAGAGGAGGGAGGGAGGGAGGGAGGGTGAGGAGGATAGGTTCGGCGAGTGTGGAAGCGAGTTGTCCGGAGGTCACAAGTCCAGCCTGCCTGTGTAGCTGACTAGCCAGTCAGGATTTGGATCAAGTGGCTTATGACTAGTCAGCCTGTTTGGGATGGCGTGTTCAGGATTTGGAGGGAAGGAGAGATTATCTGGTTGGACGTGTGTGTGTCTCCCTGCTTGTTCAACCGCTTTTCACCATATCTTCCTTCACCCTTTCAACGTAGCTGTATACCTGCGTGTGTGTCTTGATCAGGCCACAGTTCTCAGTTACAATCTCAGTTACAACCCTCTGGTTCACCCCAAGTCGTTGCCTCACCCTTTTCCTCCGCATTTCACCCTTTTCCCTCCGCCATTCCGCTGCCCCCACATGGCCCCGCGTGTGCCTGTGTGTTGAGCAGGACGCAGCTCGCAGCTACGGCATTCTGGGCCCCCCCAAGTCCAAGCTGGCCCGCTCGAGATCCGCCTCGCGAATGACAGGCAGCCACGTGGCACCTGCCCCCTCTCGCTCCCTTTCACACTCGCAGTCGATGTCACGCTCGCATGGCCATGCGCCTTCCCAGAAAAATTCTCGGGCGGCATCAGCATCAGCATTACCTTCAGGAGCACCATCAGCGTCAGCACCAGCGTCAGTGATTGCAGTACCAACAGCATCGGCACGGGATACAGCAGGTACCACAATAGCTCGCTCAGGTAGCGGTCAGGGGCAGGATTCGCAGCAGTCGCAGCATTGGCAGCACGGGCAGCAGCCGCAGCAGGGGCAACAGCAGCTGCAGCAGGGGCAACAGCAGCTGGGGTCTATGTCACAAGATCCCTTGTTATTGTCGCAGGGTGGCTCTCAAGGCTGGCTGGTGGAGTCGCAGGGGACAACAGAGGATGCAGCAGCACAGATGGCACCGTTACAGTCACACCCAGTACTGTCCCAGTTGGATTCTCAGTCCCAGCCGTTTTTATCTCAGTCAGAGCCTGTCATTCCACGTGCCTACAGCAGAACAGGGGGGGAGAGAGGAGGAGGAGAGGTGATGATGGGAGCAGGGGGGAGGGAGGAGGATACAGGGAGAAGGGCAGAAGGCAGCCTGGTGGGTTCAGGAGGAAGACCAGGAGGGGCAGCAGGAGGTGGTGTAGCAAGTGCAATGATGGCACGAGATAATGCTGCTAGTCAAAGGCGGCTCCAGCAAAGAAGGCAGCCTGTGCCGTTCTCTAGAAGGTACGGTGTGGAGTGGTGCAGGGTTGATTATGAGGTATGATGTGTCTCGCAAGTTTGATAAGGACCGATGTTTGTTTGTTTATTTTGTTTTTGTTTCCTTCTTTTCTTTCTTGCTTGCATTGCACTATTGCTAAACTAAGTACGCTCCTTCTTCCACCTTGATTCTGCATGTAATGTGCAGGGTTAAAAGACGAACGCTGGGCACTAAACTCACCACTGACGGAGATGATGATGATGATGACGAAGATGATTTCTGACTGGCTCTGACTAACACGCATTGTTGACTTGGAAGCTTCTAATTCCAATCCTGTATATATAAAGGTTGTGTATTGGATTTGTGTTTTGCATAGTCTAACATGTAATAGCGCCTATATTGAAAAGAAACCGCTTCGTGACGGAACATTGTTCGAATTTCAAGGCTACAATCAACTCTCCTCTGCTGCTGTCCGCTCTGTGTTGACCCCGCCTTGATATCACCGCTTTCCACGGGCTCAGCTAGACGTCGAGGTTGAAAGCGATTTTAAGACACGTGTCTCCGACGTGTCACGCTTCCAGTGTCAGAAAGATGCCGCTCCTTCTCGCTCACTATCGGCCAATGCTCGATCCAACGCCACGTGGCAGTCCATTGTAGGGCTACCGCCGGCACGATTACGTTTTCCTTCGTGTGAGGTCCTAATCCGAAAATAAGTACATGTGGTGTTTAACTGCCACTTAATTTCTGCTCAGTGGTAGCTTCTACTTATTTTGGCGATAAGCTCTCCAGGGTGCCTACTTATTCCTACGCGGTAATAACCGTTAGATCCTCTTCATGCCCGTGTCGCTTCGCCACGGCTCCACATTCGCACCGCCCGCCGCTCTCTCTCCGCGCTTCCGCGGCAGTTCCGCCTACGGGGTAGCTTTGGTTGCGGCAGGGTGCATTCTCGTTATAATCAGCCTCGTTTGGTCAGATATAAGCCAGCCCAAGTCCTTCGCTCTTAACTCCTCGCTCGTCCCGCAGAAACGATTGACTGAAGCCAAAGCAGAAGCAGACGGAGAAGGAACCGCATGGAAGGTCGCAGAAACAGGAGCAGGAGCAGCGGCAAGGAAGGCAGCAGAAGCAGAAGCAGAATCATTGAATGAAGTTGGTCTGGGCTTCGGTGTGGGCTTCGGTTCGGGTCCATTTAGGGATGATGCAGCATTGACCCCACGCAGTGATGATTCTGCGGCACTGATTCCCATTCTTGCCCCGCCGGGAACTGATGGTAGTACCAGTATTATAGCAACTGATAGTGATGGTACAGTGCTTTCTGCTGTCAACAGAAGAGCAGCACCAGACGGACTGGTAGCAGAAGCAGCGGGCACAGCAGCAGGAACAGGTGGAGGGGCAGTTGAAGGGGCAGGTGAAGGGGCAGGTGAAGGAACAGCTGTTGCAGCAGCAGAAACTAAACCGGGTGTAAGGTCTGTTGATCACAGCTCAGCATCATCCCCACCGTCCATTCCCACCACAGCCGAGGGCCTTCAGAGCATCATCGGCCAATGGGATCACATCCCTGGATCCATCCTCGCCACGTCAGCACAGGTCCAGTCCTTCCGAGACCGTTTCACCTGCATCAGCAGGAACGGACGGTGGAGATTCAACACCACGCCGCGGCTACTGCCATGGCCGGGCGAGATGAGTTCGTGTGATGAGCGGCACATGGGGGCCGTGCCGGGAGCAGTGGCGATGCGTGAGGCGGATAGGTTGGTGGAGGAGGGGCGGGGAGAGGTGGAGTGGAAGGTGAGAGAAGCACTCAAGTATGAATGGAGGGTGGAAGGGGACGGAGAAGGGGAGGGCGTGGGCGGGGAAGGGGGAGAGGGCAGTAACATCAGCAGTAGCAGCAGCAGCGGCGTCGGCGGCGGCGGCAGCAGCAGTAGCGGTGGTGGCGGTGGTGGCGGGAGCAGTGGTGCCTCAAGCACCCCCAGCAGCAGCAACAGCCAGGGTACATGTGGGCGGTGGGAGCGGTTTTCAGGCGAGGCACTCTGTCGGGCGATAGCAGGGCGGAACGTGATGGTGGTGGGGGACTCGCTGAGCCTGCAGCTCGCGCACGCCCTGCGCTACAACGTGCGCGTGGGCGCGGACGACCCCAAGGAGCGCGTGCGGCGCGGACGCATCTCGGTGCTGTGCAAAAGGGTGCGGGGTGCTTCGTACTCCCCATGGCTGTCGCTGCAGCGCTGCTGGACCGCTGTGCTGTGCGGGGATGTGGAAGGGAGAGGGGAAGGGGATGGGCAAGGGAGGTTGGGGACTGGTATTGTGGAGGGGAGGGGAGAGGGTGGGGATGAGGAGGGGAGGAACAAGAGCAGCAGCAGCAGTGAGGAAGGAAGCCCACCTTCACCTGCTCGATCCTCTCTGGCGTTCAACCTCTCCTTCGTGCGAGATGACTACCTGCTCTCGCCTGCCTGGCGCAACCAGTGGCTCACCAAGCGCGTGCAGGGCTCGTGGGTGGACGATCTGCGGGGGGAGAACGTGTCGATTCTGATTGTCAACCGCGGCGCGCACTTCACCCCGCACGAGTCATTTGCGTGGGAGGTTTCCGGGCAGCTGGCTTGGTTGCGGGAGCAGTTTCCGGATCTGCTGATTGTTGTGCGCGGGACGCCGGCGGGGCATAGGGAGTGCATGCGTTACGATCGTCCCTTGGAAAAGAAGGTTGGAAAGGATAATTCGAGTGATAGTGATAATGGCGGTGGGAGTTTTGAGCATGTAGATAAGTATAATTGGGAGAAGTTTGCGCACCAGAATGAAGTTGCGAGGAAAGTGGCGGAGGCGGTGGGGGCTGTGTATATGGATGTGGAGAGTATGACTGAGCTGAGGCCTGATTCCCATAGAGGGGCCAAGGATTGCCTTCATTACTGTCACCCTGGGCCAATTGATGGTTGGGTGCAGTTGTTGTACAATATGTTACTTGACCTTCTTCCTGTATCTTAATGTTTTAAAGGGAATGGTGCTACTGGCTTGAACAGAGAATGGTGCCCTGTTAAGGGATTCAAAGTTTAAGGCTGTCTGGTTAATATGCAATGTGTTTATTCAATGCAAGCTTGATCACTATTTTGCAAGCTAGTGAAGCTCGTCGAATCCAAGGTGCAGTCAAATGCTTCCGAAACGAATCTGTTCCAAGCGAGAAATATACTCCCTTCCGGAACCTCCCTTCAACCCTCCCCAATTCACCGATTCAGACCTTGGGGTTGGGGCACAATTCTCAGGGGTTTCATCCGTCCGTCAGAAAGCTCAGTCCTCTTGATTGCCTTGCAGCTTCCGTCACCGCTTCGTTTCAACAGCCTCTATACCCTTCGCTGGAGTTTTCGGTACAGCCATTATAATGGCTGCAGAGGAGGAGTTACGGCCGGTAGAGGCGAATAAAGACGTGGCCGAAGCGGGAGAAGCCGCAGAGGAGATGAAAGCGGTCGATGGGGCGTCGGAGGAAGGGCAGGAGGACGACGGGAGCGAGGATTTCAACAAACTGATTCCGGATTCCGATTCGTCAGATTCGGAAGCGAGTGAAGGGGAGGGGGGAAGCGACGAGGAGGAGGAGGAGGAAGAGGGAAGGGGCGAGAAGCGAGAGGGTGCGTCTGGAGCCAGTCTGGCAGCGGCGCAAGCTCAAGCGGAGAGAAAATCCGCATTGCAGGCGGCGCGATTGGCGCGCGAGCAGAAGCGCGCAGATGCAGCGGCGGAGCGGAAGGAGCGGCGCGCGCTGAAGGACCTGTTGCGGCGGCCGTGGGAGGCGGGGGAAGCCGGCGGGGGAGATGGCGGAGAGGATGGGGGGAAAGAGGAGGAGGTGCAGGGGAGTGATGCTGAGGAAGAGGAGGGGGAGGAGGGGGAGGAGGGGGAGGAGGGTTCAGAAGGCGAGGGGGATGATGAGGAAGAGGAGGAGGAAGATGAGGAAGAGGAAGGAGAGGAGGGAGAAGAGGGAGAAGAGGAAGATGAAGAGGAAGAGGGCGAGGAGAGCGAAGAGGAAGGGGAGGCAGAAGAAGGGGAGGAGGGGGAGGAGCGAGAGGGGCGGGAGGGCGATGGCGCGGGTCATGCGGCGGAGGAGAGCGACTCCTCGGAGGACGAGGTGCGCCCGCTCTCCCCCTCCCACTCTCCCCCCTCCCACTCTCCCGCCCTCCCACTCTCCCGCCCTCCCACTCTCCCGCCCTCCCACTCTCCCGCCCTCCCACTCTCCCGCTCTCCCACTCTCCCGCCCTCCCGCTCTCCCCCTCCTTCTCCCTCTCCCGCCCCGCCCTCTCTCCCCAACTCCCACTCTCCTGCCCTCCCACTCTCCCGCCCTCCCACTCTCCCGCCCTCCCACTCTCCCGCCCTCCCACTCTCCCGCCCTCCCACTCTCCCGCCCTCCCACTCTCCCGCCCTCCCACTCTCCCGCCCTCCCACTCTCCGCCCCTCCCACTCTCCGCCCCTCCCACTCTACCGTTCCTTCTCGTCCCCTAGCCCCTTCTCCTGCCCGCACTCCCATTCTTCCCCCCTTCACGGGGGCAACACGGTGGGCAAGGCCCCTCTGGGGTGGTACAAGGAGGAGGCGGCACGAGGAGTTGCGAGTCCCTTTTGAGTGGTAACACGGTGGGCAAGAATCAAGATACACTCAAAAGCCTTCACGGGGGCAACACGGTGGGCAAGAATCAAGATACACTCAAAAGCCTTCACGGGGGCAACACGGTGGGCAAGAATCAAGATACACTCAAAAGCCTTCACGGGGGCAACACGGTGGGCAAGGCCCCTCTGGGAAGGTACAAGGAGGAGGCGGCACGATGAGTTGCGAGTCCCTCTCACCCTTTTCCTTTCCCCACCCCCTTTCACCCCCACGGGCCAATGTCTTCCCCGCCTTGCTCCCCTTCCCCTTCCCCTCCTACCCTCCAGCGCCCATCGCGCAACACGGTGGGCAAGGTGCCTCTGGAGTGGTACAAGGAGGAGGGGCATATTGGGTACGACAGGAAGGGGCGACTTGCACAGTCGTACCTTCCCCTCCTCCCCTCCCTGCTCTTCCTTCCCTCCCTCCCCCCTTCCTTCCCCCCTCCCCCCGTCCTTCCCCCTCCAGCGCCCATCGCGCAACACAGTGGGCAAGGTGCCTCTAGAGGGGTACAAAGAGGAGGGGCACATTGGGCATGACAGGGAGGGGCGTCTTGCACACTCATACCTTCCCTTCCTCCCCTCCCTGCTTTTCCCATCCCCCCTCCAGCGCCCATCGCGCAACACGGTGGGCAAGGTGCCCCTAGAGTGGTACAAGGAGGAGGGGCACATCGGGTACGACAGGGAGGGCAAGCGCATTATGAAGCAAAAGGGGCGCGCCTCTAAGGGGGACAAGCTCGACGAGTTCCTCGCCCACACTGACGACCCTGACGCGTGGTGCGTTGAGTTGCTGTGGTACTGGTGGTTGGGGGGGTGAGGTATTGCGAGTGTGTGGCAAGGGTGCTGGTGTGTGTGGAGTGTAGCTGGTGGGGTGTTAGTGGGTGGTGCAGTGCGGGGTGCTGCTGTGTGTGCTGGGTAAGTTTTTGTGAGTGCGTGGCAAGGGTGCTGTGTGTGTGGTCGGAGCATAGCTGCTTATCAGAGTGGCCTCTAAGGGGGACAATGGACGATTTTCCCTGCTCACACTGATGACACCAACGCCTGCTGCGTGCAACTGGGGAGCTAGTTGGTTGTTGGAGAGGGGAGACATTTCAGTCCGCTCAAAGGAGCTGGGGTAATGTGGGCTGGTGGGTGGGCTGGGGTATCACGAGCGTGCCGTGCAGGCGCTGAGAGTTTAATTGAAATCCTTTCTCTGTGCATCTTTCCTGTTGGATCTTTCCAGGAAGGTGGTGTACGACGAGTACAACGATGAGGAGATCCGGCTGACAGAGGAGGACATTGATATGATTCGTAGAATCAGGGAGGGCCGCACCCCACACGCCCACGTCAACCCCTATGAAGTGAGTGATCCGAGCTGCGCTGAGCTGAGCTCAGCTGAGGCGTAGCCTGCTATCTGCAGAGATCCGGCTGAGCTGACAGAGGAGGACATTGATATGATCCGTAGAATCAGGGAGGGCCGCTCCCCACATGCCAATGTCAACCCCTATGAGGTGAGCCGGCCTGAGCTGAGTTGATTCAAGTAGAGGTAAGTAGATTTGATTTGAGTGGTGGTTGCCTCAACAACAGGCCAAGGGACCCATTAGTTGAAATGAGGTCACTTCAATGAGGTTACTTTGAAATGAGGAAAAGCATGAAATGAGGAAAAGCATGAGGCCCCCTTAAAAGCATGAGGCCCCCTTAAAAGCATGAGGCCCCCTTTCCGCACCACACCCCACCACCACCCCTTCCCCCCCACTCCCCCCCAACATTGCAGCCAGTTTGTTTGCTTCTGAGAATCCCAATGTCTTTCGCCTTTCCCCACTCCTCGTCCCCTCGCTCCCCCCAGCTATACCTTGACTGGTTTGACTGGGATGAGAAGTGAGGTCCCCTCACACTCAATTGGGTTTGTCTGGCTTTAAAACCCACTGCTCATTTCCAAACCCCCACTGCTCACTTCCATACCCCCCTTCTCACGCCCCCCTCTCTCCCCACAGCCATACCTGGACTGGTTCGACTGGGATGAGAAGTGGGATCCACTCAATGCACAGCCGGAGCCCAAGAGGCGCTTCACCCCCTCCAAGCACGAGGCCAAGCAGGTGAGCGGGCGAGCAGGTGAGCGGGCGAGTGTATGGGTAGATGGGCTGGATGGATGGAAAAGGCAGTGCACACGAGGCTGCAGTGGGGGATTGCGCTCCATGCCATGCCATGCCATGGTGATGGGAGAGTCGGTCTGGGTGGTTCTTTTTCGTGTGTGGTGCATGCAGAATCGCATTGACTCGTGATTGCGGCATGGAGGTCAATAGGTAGGTTTAGAAGGTACTATATGGCGAACTGATTCCTTTAACTGCTGCTGCTGCTGCTGCTGCTGCTGCTGCTGCTCCCATCGCCGCCACATCTTTTCCCTCTTTCCTCCCCGTCTTCCTGTTTCGTCTCCCACTTACCACCGCCGGCCATCCCCACCGTTTATCACCTCCCGCTCCTGTCCAACTCTCCCTTGCTCCACACGCAGAATGTGACTTTTGCAGGGCCAGCCTGCGGAAACGGGCCGCTTTTGATCGTCTCCTTTTGGACCGCCAAACCCCTTCCTCCCCCCCCACTTTTTTCCCATGCAGATAGTGCGGCTGGTGCGAGGACTGAGAAAAGGAACGATCAAGACTTTAGCGCAGAGGGAGAAGGAGCGGAAGCAGAAGGAGAGCGAGGGGCAGCAGCAGGCGGTGTACCTGCTGTGGGGGGACGACCTTAAAGCCATCACCTCTCAGTCTGACAAGACCAAGAACGTCAACGGACTCAGCTTCGTCGCCGCTCCCAAACCCAAACTGCCAGGTCAGCCCACACTGCCAGGTCAGCAGCATTGTGCAATACGTGCACACATGAATGTTTGCTGATCTGTCACGTCTGCATGGCTTGGTTTGAGTCCCAGACGCGGCCCTTTTCATGCCAAGAAATGCAGAATTCAACTGGCGGCAATTTCTGAAATCTCTCAAGCCCTAAAAGTTGGTTTTGCCATTGCACGGGTCGTGGTCAGGCACGTGAAGGCTCGTGGCTCTCCCCGTGCCTTCGCTGTCCCCTCGCATGTGGCATGTGCACACCACATGCCACAGGCCACGAGGAGTCGTACAACCCGCCAGTGGAGTACATACCAACGGAGGAGGAGGTGGCAGCTTGAGCCGTGGCATTGCCTCATGACTCTGTGCTCTGCTCTGCCCTGCCCTGCCCTGCCCTGCCCTGCCCTGCCCTGCCCCGCCCCGCCCCGCCCCGCCCCGCCCCGCCCCGCCCCGCCCCGCCCCGCCCCGCCCCGCCCCGCCCCGCCCCGCCCCGCCCCGCCCCGCCCCGCCCCGCCCCGCCCCGCCCCGCCCCGCCCTGCCCTGCCCTGCCCTGCCCTGCCCTGCCCTGCCCTGCCCCCTCAGGCCATGAGGAGTCATACAGCCCACCGGTGGAGTACATGCTCACGGAGGAGGAGGTGGCAGAGGCAGCTTGACCTGTGGCAGTGACTCATAACACTGCCCTTCTTACCCGTCTACCCTGTCCTGTTGTCTGCTCTCTCTCGCAGGCCACGAGGAGTCGTACAACCCGCCAGTGGAGTACATACCAACGGAGGAGGAGGTGGCGGAGAAGATGATGCAGGCGGAGTATGAAGGCACCTCCGACTCGCTCTTCGTGCCCAAGCAGTGCGTCTTGTGCAGCGAGTGGTTGTTGCTGCGCTGGTTGTGTAAGCAGTGCGTTCTGTGTGTGCTGTGCTGTGCTGGCACTGTTCCTGTTGCCTTGGATGGAAGGAAGGTCCCTCCACGACGCGGTCTGTGAAGCATCTCTAAGGGCAACCAGGTGGAATATGATATGAAGGCACTCCCACTCCTTCTTCCTGCACAAGCAGTGAGTGTATGCACAAGCAGTGAGTGTATGCACAAGCAGTGAGTGTATGCACAAGCAGTGAGTGTATGCACAAGCAGTGAGTGTATGCACAAGCAGTGAGTGTATGCACAAGCAGTGAGTGTATGCACAAGCAGTGAGTGTATGCACAAGCAGTGAGTGTATGCACAAGCAGTGAGTGTATGCACAAGCAGTGAGTGTATGCACAAGCAGTGAGTGTATGCACAAGCAGTGAGTGTATGCACAAGCAGTGAGTGTATGCACAAGCAGTGAGTGTATGCACAAGCAGTGAGTGTATGCACAAGCAGTGAGTGTATGCACAAGCAGTGAGTGTATGCACAAGCAGTGAGTGTATGCACAAGCAGTGAGTGTATGCACAAGCAGTGAGTGTATGCACAAGCAGTGAGTGTATGCACAAGCAGTGAGTGTATGCACAAGCAGTGAGTGTATGCACAAGCAGTGAGTGTATGCACAAGCAGTGAGTGTATGCACAAGCAGTGAGTGTATGCACAAGCAGTGAGTGTATGCACAAGCAGTGAGTGTATGCACAAGCAGTGAGTGTATGCACAAGCAGTGAGTGTATGCACAAGCAGTGAGTGTATGCACAAGCAGTGAGTGTATGCACAAGCAGTGAGTGTATGCACAAGCAGTGAGTGTATGCACAAGCAGTGAGTGTATGCACAAGCAGTGAGTGTATGCACAAGCAGTGAGTGTATGCACAAGCAGTGAGTGTATGCACAAGCAGTGAGTGTATGCACAAGCAGTGAGTGTATGCACAAGCAGTGAGTGTATGCACAAGCAGTGAGTGTATGCACAAGCAGTGAGTGTATGCACAAGCAGTGAGTGTATGCACAAGCAGTGAGTGTATGCACAAGCAGTGAGTGTATGCACAAGCAGTGAGTGTATGCACAAGCAGTGAGTGTATGCACAAGCAGTGAGTGTATGCACAAGCAGTGAGTGTATGCACAAGCAGTGAGTGTATGCACAAGCAGTGAGTGTATGCACAAGCAGTGAGTGTATGCACAAGCAGTGAGTGTATGCACAAGCAGTGAGTGTATGCACAAGCAGTGAGTGTATGCACAAGCAGTGAGTGTATGCACAAGCAGTGAGTGTATGCACAAGCAGTGAGTGTATGCACAAGCAGTACGTTCTGTCGGGTTTGAGAATTCTTAAAACCTACCTGGTGCAGTGAGTGCAGTTCTGTGCTGTGCTGCGTCTGTGCCTGTTGCCTTGTAAGCTCCCTGCACCGTGGCGAACTGTGAAGTGAAGCAATAAAGGGCATCCAGGCAGAGTATGAAGGTCACCTCCGACTCTCTCTTCTCGCCCAAGCATTGAGTGTGGCCGTGCCGGCGCATTGAGACCTTAGTTGGAGTATACGCTCTGAACATTTTGCGTATTGCGTTTATACGCGCTAAAAAAACGACCGCTGCGTTTTTGGTTCGGAAACGCTGAAAAACGCTCGGGCAGACCGGGAAAAAAAATCAAAATTTGAGTTTCGTTTAGCGACATGGCGATTCAAGTGTGGGGTTTCGCACGTCGCGAGTGCAACCCCGAATTCGAAATTTGAAACCGAGTCGCACCAAACCCACCCTTTACCATTGCAAACCCCCTTGTACCCCGTTCACTTCCAACCTCTTCAAACACAATGTTGAGGTGAGTCCCCCTCAACCCACCCACCATTCCTACCATAAATGTCGTGTCGTGTCTTTCCACTCGACTTTCATTACTCAGTTTAGCTCTCTTCTTTAGCTCGCCTTTCAGTATGGCGACCCCTCCTGCAGCAACACTCAGTACTAGTACCCCTACTGCAGCTCCTAATGCTAGTTCTGTTGAGGAAACCTGCGCCGGTCTGGTTATCATGCACGAAACCCATGCTGTGTACAAGCATTTCCTTGTGAAACCCGGCGACGACAGCGACCACGCCACCAAGGTGTGCATGTACTGTCGCCACAAGTTCACGGGCGGTATGTACCGCGCTGCTCAGCACATCACCAGCTGGAAGGGTATGCGGCGTCGTGAAATCCGCCTCTGCGAGGAAGCTCCCAAGACCGCGCGGGATGGAGTGAAGTCACAGTACGAGACGAAGTCCAGGACCCGGGACCAGAAGCGCGCGGCTGAAGTCTCGGCCGTTGCTGCAGTTTCCGGTGCTTCTCGCGAGGCGAAGAAGTCTCGCATGACCGATTTCTACGGCGACGCGTCAGCCTGCAAGAAGAACGATGCTGACGAGTCGATCTGCCTCGCGTTCGCTGCTCTGCGCCTCCTCGAACACCACGCGGACCACCCTGTTTGGCGCAACATGGTCTCCTGCATTGCGCGTGCGGGCGAAGGCTACCTCGCACCAAGGCGTCGCTACGTCGGCGGCGTCGGGCTCCAGAAATGTCGTTAGCGCATTGAGGCGGCGCTTGCTCCTATCGCGGCGAGCTGGCGGCGGGATGGCGTAACGGTGGCAAGCGACATGATGACTGATCGTAACGGCCGTCCGCAAGCCAATGTCCTTCTGATCAACGACAGTGGCGCGGTCTTCGCTGAGACAATCGACACACGGATGGAATCGAAGACGGGAGGTTACATCGCGGGGCTTCTCCGTCCCATTCTCAAGAAAGTCGGACCGGAAAATGTGGTGGCATTTTGCATGGACGGCGGCTCGAACTATGCGGCGGCGTGCAGGGAGCTGATGGAGGATTACTCCCACATTGAGTACATACCTTGTGCTACCCACGTCCTCGATCTGTTGATGGAGGACGTGGGGAAGATGGATTGGGCGAAGAACCTTGTCACCCGCGGGGGAGAGATCATCACCTTCACGCGCAACCACCACTTCACGCGGGGGTATTTGCGAAGCTCCGAGGTCAAGGGCGGGAAGGGCAAGCAGGTCCTGAAACCCGCGGGCACTCGCTTCGGGACGCAATTCATCGCTATTTCCCGCCTTGTCGAAGTCCGTGCTGCCCTCGTGCAGATGGTTTTAAGCGATGAATGGAAGGAGTGGGCAACAGGTGCAAGGAGTAAAAGCGCGGACACTTTCCGCGAGCACATCATGGACGAGGCTTGGTGGAAGACGGCCGAGTTCTTCACCAAGCTCATGGCGAAGCCGTTCGCCGTCATGCGGGCTACGGATGCTGCGACAAAAGGGATGATGGGGCGCCTCTACGACGCCATGCTGCAGCTCACCGAGGACGTGGATGCAATCCTCGAGGAGCACTCCGCGGGTCACCTGACGAGGGCAGAGGTTAAGGAGATCCGCCTCATCGTGAAGGATAGGTGGGATAAGTGCTTGGCGTGCCCCTTGCATGTGGTTGGCAGGATCTTGAATCCGGTCAACCAAGAGGAGAGCATCTTCAGAAACGACATCGAATGCACGCGCGTGCTGAAGGGCTACATCGCCAAGCACTACGACCACCTCACCATCACCGCGAGCGATGGCGAGGAGCGCCGAGCCTCTCTTGTGCTGCAGGAGGAACTGACGGCGTACCTGACCCTACAGGGGAGTTTCGGGCTGCCCACCGCCTTGGAAGACCGCGCGGCTGTGAAGGCGGGGAAGATGACGGCCGTCCAGTGGTGGAATTGGCACGGCACAGATGCGCCCCACCTTGCTACGTGCGCAATCCACAACCTTTCGCAGCCGGTGTCCGCGTCGCCCTGTGAGCGCAATTGGTCCATGTGGGACGCGGTCCACACGGCAAGGCGCAACCGCCTCGGGTCCGAGAAGTGCAGGGACCTCGTATATGTTGTGCACAACTGGCAGGTTGTGCACAATTGGTACAAGGTCCCTAAGGGGCAGCGGGTGGTCAAGGGCAACATTCCTGAGGCGCCCCTTCCCGAGGGCTACAAGGTGGAGGAGGATGGGGCGGAGGAGGAGGTTGGGGAGGAAGAGGACATGGTTCTTGAGGATGAGTATGCATAGACATGCATGTGGGGAGGGGGTGGTATGGGATGGGATGGGATGGGCCTATGAAGTGTAGTGATTCCTGAAAAAGAGAAAGGAAAGGGAGGTGGGGTAGGGGGTCTAGTGATGTAGGCAAAATGTTGTGTGCATGTAACCTGCCCTATAATACAAAAGGGGAAGGGAGGTGATGGTGCCACCCCCTTCCCCACATCTTAACCCAAAAAAAATCACCTGCCCGAAACTTTTTTTACCCCTGCCCGGCCCTGCGTTTTCACTGCGTATTAGACCCCTCCAAAGCTGCGTACTGCGTTTATACGCTAGCGTTTATACGCTAGCGTATAAAACGCGAAACGCGTATACTCCAACTAAGATTGAGACATCTCAAAGCTCCTCTGCTCACCTCGCCTCTCCTCCCCCACCTCCCCTACCCCCCACAATCACCAGGTACACCTCGCTGCGCTCCGTGCCGGCGTATCCTCGCTTCATTCGAGAGCGCTTCGAGCGCTGCCTCGACCTCTACCTGTGCCCGCGTGTCAAGAAGAACCGGGTGCGTTGCCGTGGGAGAGTGCATGCATTGTGTTGGATTTGTTTATTTTCTGAACTTTATTTGGTTAGAAGTTGTTTATTGGTGTTCCATGTGACACACAGCATCACTGCGCTACTTCTCTGTCGCTTGCCCTCTCGTTCTTCCACCCTCCCTTGTTGCTCAGCATCTCCTTTTCACCCATGCTTATTGCCCTTTCTTCCCCGCCCCCTCCCTATTCTCCCATTCCCCCTTCTCCCCTGCCCTTGTCATTACCACGTGCGTCTCCTCCTCGTCCCGTCCCAACTCCCCCCCTCCCCTCACCCCCTCCCCTCCCCCCTCCCCCTGTCCCCTGCCCCCCCTGCCTTCGCTCCTCGCTCAGATCATGATCGATCCTGATGCGCTGCTCCCCAAGCTGCCCAAGAGGAAGGATCTGCGTCCCTTCCCGCACTCCCTCTCGCTGCGCTACCTGGGCCATCGAGCCACAGTGCGCTCGCTCTCCCTGCACCCCTCGGGGCAATGGCTCGCCTCAGGTACCATCCATCCATCCATCCATCCATCCATCCATCCATCCACTGTCATTCGCATTGATTCGCCTTTTCACCGCGTGGAGTGGAGCTCCAGTAGTAGACCACGTTCAATATTAGGCCCATTTGAGTGCTTCCACCAAGGCCACGCACCGCACCACACCGCACCGCACCGCACCGCACCGCACCGCACCGTGTACATTCCGGGGCCCAGTCCAGATACGTTTCTGGCGAGTGTCTGTTAAAGGAGGACAGGACACCACACGCCATGCCAACCCCTCTTCCTCATCCCCCTTCCCATCTTCTCCCCTCTGCACCCCTCTCCACTCCTCTGCACCGCACTGCAGGCAGCGATGACGGCACAGTGAGGGTGTGGGAGGTGGACACCACGCGGTGCAGCGCACCATTGCCCTGTTCCCAACCCCTCTGTACTCCTCTCCACCCCTCTGCACCGCACTGCAGGCAGTGATGACGGCACAGTGAGGGTGTGGGAGGTGGACACCACGCGGTGCCGGAGGGTCATCCAAATGCCAGCGGCAGTCAAGCACGTGGCGTGGAGCCCTGCTGCCTCCCGCCCCATCCTCGCCATCACCTCGTGAGGCCCCCCCACCTCCCCACCTCCCCACCTCTCCCCTCCCCTCCTCTTATCACGTCTCCTCCCCTCCCCTCTTCTCCCCCCTTTCCTCTCCTTTCGTCTCGTACTCTCCTCTCCCCCCCCTCTCTCCCCCTCTTCTCCTCTTTTATTCTCTCTTCCTTCGTCCTTCCTTTCCGCATCCGCCCTCCCCTCCTCCTCCCCACCCCCCTACAACAGAGGCACGGATGTGGTGTTGCTGCCAGGGGAGGGAGGGACGGAGGAGGAGGAGAGGGCGGTGGAGCAGCTGTTAGAGGCCAAGGACGGGTGGAAGGAAGGTGCGTGGGGATGGGTGGGGATGGGTGGGGTATGGGTGTGGATGAGTGTGGCTGGGTTTGTCTGGTTGTGGATGGGTGTCGATGGGTGTGACCGGATGTTCCATGCATGCATGGGTGCTGAAGGGGGCATGGAGGAGGAGGAGAGGGCGGTGGAGCAGCTGTTAGAGGCCAAGGAGGGGTGGAAAGAAGGTGCGTGGGGATGGGTGGGGATGGGTGGGGATGGGTGGGGATGGGTGGGGTATGGGTATTGATGGGGAATGGGGACATGGTTGCATGCATGGGTGAGTGGAGCTGCTGCTGGAGGCCAAGGACGGGTGGAAAGAAGGTGGGTGGGGATGGGTGTTGATGGGTGCGGAATGGGTGGGGGATGGGTTTGGATGGGTGTGGATGGGAAATGGGGTTGTTACAAGTTTGTATGAATTCCCGGAGAAGATGCTCTGTGTTCCATTCCATGCTTCAACAACTCGTCCCCTACGCCCATCAGTTGCTTCATTCTCAATGTTTCTGTGACGTGTCACAAATCACAACAGCCGTTGAGTCGAAACCCAGCTGTTTTTGTTTTTTTTCTCCGCCACAGACGCGGGAGTCGGGGTAGGGGTGACATGGAGCGCGTACAAGGGGGAGGGAGGCAAGCTCAAGGGCCTACGGCTCAGACACCAGGAGGTGAGTGCTGGCGCTGCTGTGCGGTATTTGAGTCTACTCAAAAGACACGGCAGCAGGGGTAGGGGTGACATGGAGCACGTATAAGGGGGAGGGAGGCAAGCTAAAGGGGCTGAGACTCAGGCACAAACATACAAAACCTTAAACCTTAATGCAGGTAGTTAGTACAAACATACAAAACCTTAAACCTTAACCCTAAGACAAGTTGATAGCTCTTCTGTAGCACAGAATAGGTTAACCTCACTGCTGTGACTTTTGAGTCACCTCAGAATAGGTTAACCTCTCTGCTGTGACTTTTGAGTCGACTCAAAAGTCACCTCAGAACAGGTTAACCTCACTGCTTCACTCTGCTCTCTCACCCTGCACTGCACTGTGCTCCTTCGTATGTGTACTTGTACCCACATCTAGCTTTGAGGCGCCTCAACACTGTACTTGTAACCACATCTGAACCCAATTTTCTTTCTGACAACTCTACATCGTTTCTCTACCATGCGTGTGGTGTGGCAGCTCCTCAAAAGCCGACTCTTCTTCTCCCTTCTCGTGTTTCCCGCTGCGATCCCGCCCATCTATCCTATCCACTGCTCCCATGCAGCAAGTGTCGAGTGTCACGTGGCATCGCAAGGCCGACTACTTTGCCTCCGTCTCTCCCAATGATAAGCCCTTCCTCCTTCCTGCTTTCTGCTTTTCAGTTCTTGCTTCCTAGTTCTTCATTCTCAAGTCTTGCCCATTGATTGCCGATTAGTTTTCCTACCAGCAGTTTTTCCACAACTGCTTAGTACACAGCATTTGCACTCGTTCTCTTCCGTGTCTGGTGAGAATCCCGTTTTCCTGCTCGACTGCTCCTCCTCTCGTCCTGCTTTCGTTGTCTCCCCCAAAGTCTTCGTGCTTCCCTCGTTGCCCAGTCCATCTTTCCCACTCCGCCCCTCTTCCTCCTCCCCGCCTTGGCTCCATTCCCTCCCTCCACGTGGCAGAAGGGCAGTGGTGATCCAACAGCTCACCCGCCATGCATGGCAGTGCCGCTTCAAGACCCATTTAATCCTTTCAATCCTAGTGTTCGATCCGTACTTAATCTCCTAACAATATTCTCTTGTCCATGGTCTTCTCCGTCCTCTCTCCCTCCCTCCACGTGGCAGCAGGGCAGTGGTCATCCACCAGCTCACCCGCCGCGCCTCTCAATGCCCGTTCAAGAAGGCAGCAGCGGGCGGGGACCGGCGCATTGCAGCGGTGGCCTTCCACCCATCTAAGCCCATCCTCTTCGTGTCGTCGCGCACGCTCGTGCGCTCGTACCACCTGCTGCGCCTCTGCCTGCTGAGGAAATACATGCCCAACATCAAGCAGATTTCTTCTCTGGCGGTCCATCCCTCAGGTAGAGCTTGTGAGTGAGGTGCCTCAAAAGAGAGGCCTGCAGAGGGAGCTACATGCGTGTCCTTCCACCCATCTAAACCCATCCTCTTCGTGTCGTCGCGCAAACTCGTGCGCTCGTACCACCTGCTGCGCCTCTGCCTGCTGCAGAAATACATGCCCAGCATTAAGCAGATCTCCTCACTCGCCATCCACCCCTCAGGTGGGCCAAGGTGGGACAACTAGTAGACGCTGTGTCTGTAGATCTGTCTTTTGAGTCGACTCAAGAGACGCTGTGTCTGTAGATCTGTCTTTTGAGTCGACTCAAGAGACGCTGTGTCTGTAGATCTGTCTTTTGAGTCGACTCAAGAGACGCTGTGTCTGTAGATCTGTCTTTTGAGTCGACTCAAGAGACGCTGTGTCTGTAGATCTGTCTTTTGAGTCGACTCAAGAGACGCTGTGTCTGTAGATCTGTCTTTTGAGTCGACTCAAGAGACGCTGTGTCTGTAGATCTGTCTTTTGAGTCGACTCAAGAGACGCTGTGTCTGTAGATCTGTCTTTTGAGTCGACTCAAGAGACGCTGTGTCTGTAGATCTGTCTTTTGAGTCGACTCAAGAGACGCTGTGTCTGTAGATCTGTCTTTTGAGTCGACTCAAGAGACGCTGTGTCTGTAGATCTGTCTTTTGAGTCGACTCGAGACGCTGTGTCTGTAGATCTGTCTTTTGAGTCGACTCAAGAGACGCTGTGTCTGTAGATCTGTCTTTTGAGTCGACTCAAGAGACGCTGTGTCTGTAGATCTGTCTTTTGAGTCGACTCAAGAGACGCTGTGTCTGTAGATCTGTCTTTTGAGTCGACTCAAGAGACGCTGTGTCTGTAGATCTGTCTTTTGAGTCGACTCAAGAGACGCTGTGTCTGTAGATCTGTCTTTTGAGTCGACTCAAGAGACGCTGTGTCTGTAGATCTGTCTTTTGAGTCGACTCAAGAGACGCTGTGTCTGTAGATCTGTCTTTTGAGTCGACTCAAGAGACGCTGTGTCTGTAGATCTGTCCTCCCCTCCTCCACCCACCTACCATCTGTTGCGCCTCTGCCTGCTGCGGAAATACATGCCCAACATCAAGCAGATCTCCTCACTCGCCATCCATCCCTCAGGTGGGTAGGATCGTAGGACGACCAGTGAAAGCATGTTGATTGGTGAGTAGGACCACACCGCCCATTTAAGCCCATCACCCATCAGGTCGATGGGAGCACCAGTAAAAGCCGTGTCTGTCCCCTTTCCCTACCCTTCCTACCTTGTCTGACCACCATCGTCTATCCTTCCTACACCCCAACCACGGCCCCCCTTTTTCCTACCTACCTGCCATCCACCCCGATGGCAGGCGATCATCTGCTGGTGGGGGGAGACAAGAAAGGCGTGTTACCTTGTTACCAATCATTGCAATCGTTCCACCTCTTCCTAACCCCTCTAAACCCCTTACCGCCCCACCATCCACCCTGATGGCAGGCGATCATCTGTTGGTGGGGGGAGACGAGGGCAAGGTGGCATGGATCGACATGGACCTCTCCACGCGCCCCTACCGCGTCTTGAGGTGCGTACTGCCTACATGCTGTGCGTAACGATTCCACCCTCGTGCGTCTCCTCAATGCAAGCTGTACCACACCTCAAGATGGCATGGATGGATTGACATGGACCCGTCTACACGGCCCTACCGCGTCTTGAGGTACTAATTGCAATCTCTGGGTTTCCTCATTGCAATCTCTGGGTTTCCTCATTGCAATCTCTGGGTTTCCTCATTGCAATCTCTGGGTTTCCTCATTGCAATCTCTGGGTTTCCTCATTGCAGTCTCTGGGTTTCCTCATTGCAGTCTCTGGGTTTCCTCATTTCAATCTCCGGGTTTCCTCATTGCAATCTCTGGGTTTCCTCATTGCAATCTCTGGGTTTCCTCATTGCAATCTCTGGGTTTCCTCATTGCAATCTCTGGGTTTCCTCATTGCAATCTCTGGGTTTCCTCATTGCAATCTCTGGGTTTCCTCATTGCAGTCTCTGGGTTTCCTCATTGCAATCTCTGGGTTTCCTCATTGCAATCTCTGGGTTTCCTCATTGCAGTCTCTGGGTTTCCTCATTGCAATCTCTGGGTTTCCTCATTGCAATCTCTGGGTTTCCTCATTGCAGTCTCTGGGTTTCCTAATTGCAATCTCTGGGTTTCCTCATTGCAATCTCTGGGTTTCCTCATTGCAATCTCTGGGTTTCCTCATTGCAATCTCTGGGTTTCCTCATTGCAATCTCTGGGTTTCCTCATTGCAGTCTCTGGGTTTCCTCATTGCAATCTCTGGGTTTCCTCATTGCAATCTCTGGGTTTCCTCATTGCAATCTCTGGGTTTCCTCATTGCAATCTCTGGGTTTCCTAATTGCAATCTCTGGGTTTCCTCATTGCAATCTCTGGGTTTCCTCATTGCAGTCTCTGGGTTTCCTAATTGCAATCTCTGGGTTTCCTAATTGCAATCTCTGGGTTTCCTCATTGCAATCTCTGGGTTTCCTCATTGCAATCTCTGGGTTTCCTCATTGCAATCTCTGGGTTTCCTCATTGCAATCTCTGGGTTTCCTCATTGCAGTCTCTGGGTTTCCTCATTGCAGTCTCTGGGTTTCCTCATTTCAATCTCCGGGTTTCCTCATTGCAATCTCTGGGTTTCCTCATTGCAATCTCTGGGTTTCCTCATTGCAATCTCTGGGTTTCCTCATTGCAGTCTCTGGGTTTCCTCATTGCAATCTCTGGGTTTCCTCATTGCAATCTCTGGGTTTCCTCATTGCAAGCTCTGGACTGGTTAATTTCTTTGTTCATACATCAAATCATGCCTGTCCATTATGTGTTCACCACGTCACGAGGGGCCACGGACGTACAACCTGTTGCTTTCCACTTCACCAGCCCAACACAGCACAACACACCGGCCCATCCATCCATTCACTTTCATTCAAACCCCTCCGCTCCCACCCACTCATTCTGCAGGAGTCATGGCGGCATGGATGTGCGGTCAGTGGCATTCCACCCCACCTACTGGCTCTTCGCCAGTGCGGCAGAGGACTGCCTTTTTGAGAATTCTCAAAAGGCATTCCACCCCACCTACTGGCTCTTCGCCACTGCGGCAGAGGACTGCCTTTTTGAGAATTCTCAAAAGGCATCCCACCCCACCTACTGGCTCTCCGCCACTGCGGCAGAGGACTGCCTTTTTTAGAATTCTCAAAAGGCATTCCACCCCACCTACTGGCTCTTCGCCACTGCGGCAGAGGACGGCCTTTGCCTTCCATCCATACCCCCCCCACTTCCCGCCCTCCTCCCCTGCATCTTCTTGTCTTGCCCCACCCGCTGCAGGAGTCACGGAGGCATGGACGTGCGATCAGTGGCATTCCACCCCACGTACCCGCTCTTCGCTAGTGCAGCGGAGGACGGGTCAGCCTTTGCCTTCCACGGGATGGTCTTTGCCGACCTGCTGCAGAACCCCCTCATCGTGCCACTCAAGATCCTCCGCGCCCCGCCGCCACCTCCGCAAGCCGCTTCGTCTTCCTCGTCCTCCTCCAAAAGTGTGTTGATGTTTTCGTTTTTCGTTTTTTTCTTTTTTTAGCACCACATGAGCGACATCACCGCCCTGTGCTCCTCATCGTGTCCCCACTTGTACCACTCAAGATCCTCCGCACCGCACCACCACTGCCCCCCCATGCCGCCTCCTCATCGTCATCGTTCTCCTCCAAGAGTGCCTTGATGTTTCGTTTTTCCTCTTCTTGGAACGTCGCATTGAAGGCATTACCGTTCATAGTGCACAGCTCATTCTCTAACCCGCACCCTCACATTCTCTCTCCCCATCCCCACTCTTCCCTGTGCCTGCAGGTCTGTACGCGTGTGCCTTCCACCCCTCCCAGCCATGGCTCTTCACTGCAGGCGCTGACTGCTCAGTCACCCTCTTCACACACTGAAGCTATTTTTTTGCTGCACGCTGAATGTCTGCTCTGTGCTCTGCTGTGCCGTGCTGCGCCGTGCTGTCTAAACTCTGCAAGAAGCAATGTTACAGGAACGCTGTCTGTAATAGAAATACTGTTTCCAACACATAGTATCATCTACGTATCCACCACATGGTTGATTAGAATGCTGTGAGATTGTGGATATCAGCAGCGCCTGCCAGCCTGTGCCCTGCCACAATGGCCCCCCTCGTGCTGTTAGTTGCCAACAAGTCTCATGCTGCTTCTTTCGTGCCCTGGTGGCAAGGCAAGGCAATATGAACGCTATCATTAGACACAATTACATTCCATACTCCAGGATGGCAAAGGAACAATCACCAAGTCGCAGCATGTTGAGTCTGATCTGATGTGCTGCAATGGCTTGCATCGATTGCCACCCTGGCCTGACACCGGCCGTAGGCACACAATCCTCTAAGCAGATGCTCAATGTACTAAGCATGTATTGCACCACAGGGAAAATGAGAGAGCACTTCCTCTACATAAATGTCAAAATAATGCAACCGTTTTTCAAAACCTTTGCAAGGGGAGTTGCAAATAAGTGGCATGTATCGCTCGCGGCTTGCGAAACAATCGAGGGTCACGGCTTTTGGCCTATTTGACCTCCTCGTAGTCGTCGTCTGTGCTCTCTTCTTTTGAATTCTTGTAGCTGTAGTAGGCGAATTGGCAGAGGATCTGTCACAGGCAGTTCGACCGGGACAAGAGGGTTGCGATGTGGGAAAACACGTCAGAATGTTGAATGCATGTAAGTCATGTGGATCTTCTATCATGAATGATGCTTGTGAAAGAGCCGCGGGAGCTCACAAAGAGGCGTGGGGGCTTACAAAGAGGCGTGCTGGCTTACAAACTGGTGTGGGGGCTTGCAATGAGGTGTGGGGGCTTACAAAGAGGTGTTGGGGTTTGTTGGGGCTTACAAAGAGGTCGAGCAGCACACAGACAGCAGCATCAACGAGCCACGGCAAGTTGGGCTTGATATGACGCCATTCCATGCTGCGCGCTACTATGCTGTTGATGTGTGTGGATGGGAGAGGGTGGTGGGGAGAAACAAAGAAAGGAGCAGGGGGGTTGTGTTTGAAGAAACATCAGGCATGGTGGGCTTGATGTGTCGCCACTCCATGCTGTGCTGTTGATGTGCAGGGGAGAGAAGAGGAGAAGAGTGAGGAAGGGGAGGTGGAAGAGGGTGTCAAGGAGGCATCAGGCGAGCTGGGGTTTACGTGCTGCCACTCCTGGCAACGGACCAACAGTGATAGGATGAAAGAGTTTTGAGACGTCTCAAAACAAAAAAACTTGAGACGTCTCAAAGCTAGAGGGTGTCAAGGAGGCATCAGGCGAGCTGGGGTTTACGTGCTGCCAGTGTGCCACTCCTGGCAACGGACCAACCAACGGTGATAGGATGAAAGAGGGAAAGGGAATAGGGAGAGAAACATGGAGCAGCGAGGTGGCAGGAAAGAAAGGAGGGCCGGAGGATTCAATGACGGCCCTCAGAGCTGTCGGTGCATTCACCTGGTCTGTCAGAAGAATCACCTCTGGACGCTCAAATATAAGTGAAAACTTCCGGGAGTGTGTTCAGACAAGGTGACAAGCTGACAGGCTGTTTTTGAGTCGACTCAAAAACAGGCTCAAATATACGTTGAACCTTCCGGGGGTGTGTTCAGACAAGATGACGAGTTGACAGGCTCACCTGCCAACGTAGGTGGCGTTGCCAACAAGGGCGAAGAGGAACATGAGCGGGCTGAGCCCCTCCACCGTGCCGCGCTGAATCTGAAACAGCACACACACACACACACAGGGAGATGAATGGGCAGCGTGCATGGTTAAGAAGATTGTGCGTGAAAGTGCCGCAACATGCAGCATGCAGAAGAGGAACATGAGCGGGCTGAGCCCCTCCACCGTGCCGCGCTGAATCTGCATGCCATGGAGAGGAGACGAAGGGGAGGGAAGGGGGTGTGCGATCAAGAATCTTCACTGGGGTGCCACAGCATTCAGCATGCAGCAACACAGCAGCTCGCACTGATGGCATGGCATGCAAGGAGAGCAGCATGCATTCATACATACATTGAGGTAGATCTGCGGAATGCGCCCGCCCATGTAGATGGCCGCCATGAGCCACCCTAGCAGCTCCCCCAGTGCACTCGGCTCCTCATCATCACCTGGCAGGAGAGGGGGGGGGGGGTTGTTGGGGGGAGGAGCAGCAAGGCAAGAGCAGAAGTACAATGGGCATGCAGTGGAGAGTTTGGATGGTGAGATTTGGGTCCAGGGCGGTGGTATGGCTGAGGCTGGTGGGCATAAACTCTGAGTCGACTCAAATGTCAAGGTGGTATGGCAGGGCGTTTTACAGGGCAGTGGTGTGGTGTGGTAGAGGATGGTGGGGATGGTATGGTGCAAGTGGGACTTACCATCAGTCAGCAGGTGTTGAGAAAACAGTCCGCGTGTGCTTGCCTGGAATAACAGGGGGGGGGGGCATGGCAACAGTGCAAAGACTGCTTTTTGAGCCGATTCAAAAAGGGGCACCATGGTAACAATGCAAAGACAGATCATCAGCAAAGAGCAAGGAAGGAGCAACTCTGCCACGAGTCAGGCTTTGGAAATTCTGTTATAGAAAGAGCCAAGGCATTCAGCAGGTTCGCATGGGCAGTACAGTGTCGTGTTTGTTAGTGAGAATGGAGAGGAGCAACTTGCAACATCTGATCACGTTTGAGACGTCTCATCTCATGACTTTTGAACGAAAAAAGGGCTCGCTTGGGGAGTAAGCATTTGGTACCAAGGCCGTTCAAGTCACGTCAGTGTGACATTCACACACATACGATTCTTCTAAACCGAACATTATGCTGACTGCGTTACAAGAATGAGTTGTTGGATACAAGCGCGCCATGACACAGGAGATCGTAATGAGACAGACAGCTCAATACAGTCGAGTCTCATGAAGAAACAACCTTACCTGCAACAGTCGGCGGCGCATGGGGAAGACTTGGGCTGGCAGACGGTAGGATTCAAGGCCAGGATCAGCGGAGGAAGAAGCGGAGAGTGAGGGGAAGAGAGACGAGAGCGGGGACGTGGAGGAGGAGGTGACGGCGGGGTCTGAGTGGTAGGGGATGGGGCCGAGGTGGTTGGGGGTGGAAGAAGCAGAGAAGAGGGAGTGGGAGAGGGCGCCGATGCGCAGACAACCAACCAGCAGCATGCCGAATGCCACCTGTGGGGAGGGAGGGAAGAGGAAGCAGGAGGGCAGGAGGGCAGGAGGGAGGAGGATGAGAACAGGAGAGATGAGGAGGAGGCGAGGAGGGCACGAGGAGGAAGCCTCAAAAGGAGATGGAGATGAAGGGGTGGAAGGGATGAGGAGGTGAGGCAGCACATGGTGCGGAAACGTGAAAGGATGTCCGTGGACCAGAGCAAGACTGGACCAGAGCAAGACTGGACCAGAGCAAGACTGGACCAGAGCAAGAGTACGGAATGACAAGGGTATGCTCCGACCAGGTCTCCCAAGAAATGACTTATGAGGCGCCTCACAAGGTTATGCTCCTCCGACCAGGTATCCCAAGAGGGTACGGCTGGTGTTGTGTGCATTGCATTGCTCCAACAGCACAGGTGACGCGGCTGCTTTGGAATCCTCAAAAATAGACTCACGGCGTGGTTGACGCGGCTGTTGCTGCGCAGGAAGATGAGCATACTTTGACATATATATATATACTACATATATATATATATATATATATACATTTTTTTGAAGGGGCTTACAGCGCGAGTGACGGGGCTGTTATTGCGCAGGGAGATGTGCGGCACGCCTTGGCCGGGCGACTGGCTGAGCAGCGACCCCACGTGGTGCTGTGTGTGGCGGGCGTGCAGCGAGTGCGGGTGATGCCCCCCGTGTGAGCCGTGTGGGTGGTGCCCGTGTGACCCCGGCACGAATGAACCCATGGTGGGCGTGTGACAGCTCACTAGCGACCGCGCAGAGCTGTGGGGAGGAGAGGGGGGAGGGGAAAGCAGGTGGGTGAGGAGGGAGGCCTGCAAAGAGTCTTGTATGGAGGAGATGAGCCCGTGGTGGGCGTGGGGCACCTGATTAGCGGTGGGAAGGAGGGATAAGAGGGGAAAAGAGGGGAGAGAGGGGAGAAGAGGAGAGAGAGGGGGTGAGGTAGGGGAGACAAGTTACGAGGGCACCAAATGGAGAGGAGAAACGGGAGAGTCAGATAAGGAGGGAGACAGAACAGAATAAGTTCTGAGGATTAGGGTTCGTTGGCGACTTTTGAGGCGCCTCAAAAGGATTAGGGTTCGTTGGCGTTCTGAACAAGGGCGACTGGAGATGGGAGAAACACCCCAGGGGGGTTTCTCTTCAGTTAGGAGAACCCCCCCCTGAGACAATACAGAGGACCACTTCAGAGGAAAACGTCTGAGCGGCTGGAGACAGAGGGAAAATGGACGATTACGTTCACTACAAAAGCATTTTTAGCATTTCCCACAGGGAGAGCAAGAAGATGGAGATAAGGGGGAACAGTGAGGGGGGGCAAAGAGGGGGAGCAGAGTCTGACTGGATGTGATGTGGACGTTGCGGTGGAAGCACTTGTGGGTGAGAGCAGCACGGAGACAGAGAGCACATGGACGATCACAGGGAGAGGAATGAGGGGGGTCAATGAGGGGTGCCGTGCAGGAACAGGTACTGACTGAATGTGGATGTCACGGTGGGAGGACTTGCGGCTGAGCGGCACAGAGAGGATCTCGGAGCGCGGACCAACGGGGATGGGCACGCCCTGGGGCACCCCCACCGGCCCTGACGACGCCTGCTGCTGCTGCTGCTGCCCTTGCAGTAGGGGAGTCTGTAAGCGGGAGGGGCGAAAGCGAAAGGAACGGGGAACGAGACGAAAGTTGGGTAGATTCCAGTCGACTCAGAAGATGAACACGCCCTGGGGCACCCCCACCGGCCCTGACGGCGCCTGCTGCTGCTGCTGCTGCTGCTGCTGCTGCTCTTGTAGCAGAGGAGTCTGCGGGCGGGAGGAGCAGAAGTAAAGGGGAGCGGGACGAAAGGTGGGTAAATTTATTAGTTAACTTGAAAGATGGGGCCGCCCTGGGACACCCCCACCGGCAATGGCGGCGCCTGCTGCTGCCCTTGCAGCAGAGGAGTGTGAGGGCGGGCGGGAGGAGCGACGGGAGAGCGGAGAGGAGCGAGTGAAAAGAAGGGCACACACACACCCTGGTGCACTCCTACCGGCTAAAACGGCACCTGCTGCTGCTCTTGCAGTAAAGGAGTCTGTGGGCGGGAGGAAGCGAAGGAGTGGGGGAGAGGAACGAGATGGTGGGTAGAGCAGGGAATTAGTGAGGAGGATTCTGTGGGTGCCTTTGTTCCTTGGCGATGCGTTTTTATCTGCTCTAATTTGCTGTGATCTGGTCTGACTTGATCTAATGTGATCTGATCTGATCTGATGTGGTCTAATTTGATCAAGAATGCCTCCAATTAACCCTTGCGAGCTCACTGTATAGATACTCCGAGCTTTTGATCTTTGGCATGGCATGGCATGGCATGACATGGCATGGCACAGCATGGCATGACATGGCATGGCACAGCATGGCATGACATGGCATGGCACAGCATGGCATGACATGGCATGGCATGGCACAGCATGGCATGACATGGCATGGCACAGCATGGCATGACATGGCATGGCACAGCATGGCATGACATCCTTTCCCTTTATTTACTAATCCCGGCGGTGCCTTTAACAGTTAGTTACTCGCACACCCCCAGAGGAACTGCGCACCCACCCCGGCCAAAGACCCACCCCATCCCACCCACCTGCAGAGTGACAGCCGTGGTGCTGCTGACGCTGATGATGCTGTCCTGCACTGCAGTGCCGCCCTCCTCCTGCTCGTCCTCCTCCTCCGCCACCTCCTTGTGTGGCACCAACACCTCGTAACACACCGTCTGCGCCACCGGCACCCACCAGCACCCACCAACACCCACCAAACCTCAAGACCCATCCCACCCACCTGCACAGTGCTGCTGGCAGTGATGCTATCCTGCACTGCCACACTGTCGCCCTCCTCGTCCTCCTCCTCCGCCACCTCCTTGTGCGGAACCAACACCTCGTAGTACACCGTCTGCGCCACCAGCACTATCGTCGTTATCGTGTACATCTGGTGGCGGTGGTGGTCGTGGTGGTGGTGTTTTGGGAAAGGGAGGGTGAGAGGAAAAGGGGAGGGGGGGGGGAACGAGTTTTTTACTAAGGTGAGGACGCAATGAAGGAGGGTGGGCCTCGGAGAAGGAGTATAGGACGAACGCAGATTGTGAACTTCAAACGAGTATTGAAAAGGTAACTATGGAAGGAAAAAATCGAGAAAAGAAACGAAAAGAACAAAAAAAAAGGCATTTAGGCAAGAACGCCAAGGTGCATGGTGCAGCCTTTGGCACGAGCATAAAATAAGGAGGTTTAGAATGAAAGGCGTTGGAAGGACAAGGAGCACATGCGTGTGGCGTGTATAATGAATCTCTTACCAGAGCCATGTAGTACTGCGTTGGGAGCTGCACATTCACAGACAGACAGGGGTTGGACGGACGGAGAGAAAGACGAGAAGGCCGTGTCAAAAACGAGGTGGAAATTCGAAGCTCATGAAGGCCACTTACCAGATATGTTCGCCAGGCAACCTGAAAGAAGCAAGCAAACAAACATAGAAGCAAAACTCTCTAGCGCCATCCAGGGGGCTGTAACTTTCGACTACTCTTCGAGCTCAATGCTTACCGTTGCAGGCTCCAGGTAGCATCCGGCCAGATTAAAGACGTCCCTGTGAAAGCCACGTGGAGGAGCCAGGGTGGAGGGAAGGGGCCACAAATGCAGGGAGTGAGATCGGGCTACATTCGAGTGTGGCGGATCGGAACAGAACTGGCTGTTGCGATGCGAAATCGGGGCATGTACAAGCCATGGAGCGGAAGTATTGGGGGAGTGAAGGAAGGAAGATAGGGAACAGCGGGTAATAGGGAGAAACGAATATAGAGAGGAAAGAAATCACGGGATGAGGAGCGAAGAGAGGAAGATGTGGAACGAAAGGCGCCTGCAAGGAAGGCCAAATCAGCTCATAGCCCACACCACATTGTCTTCCCAACGGTCAAGGTCACGAGAAAGGAAAGAAAAACGCCTTTGGTGCTGCCTGCAAAGAAGCTGGCCGTCATAAGTATTGATTCTCGGTTACACTACACCACACGCGAGTTTGAGTTGGCTTTACACGCTCCTGACGGCAGATTTCATCAACTGACAGTCCAAGACATCTCACTCGACAGACCAGGATATCTCACCCGACAGTCCGAATCATCTCACCCGACAGTCCGAGTCATCTCACCCGACAGTCCACGTCATGAGGAAGGTGAGCGAAACGCCCTCGGTGCTGCCAGCGAAGAAGTTGGTAACAATCTGCGGGATCTCGGCGACACCCCAGGCGACGACGCTCATCATGCCCAGCGTGAACGAAAGCCCGTCGCGAAAGTTACACACGCAGTCGCCAAAATAGCGGTGGACCCAAATGAGACACTGCAGGAGAGGAAAATACGAAGCAGGATGGGATGAAGACAGGTGATTCTCAAGTCGATAAAACAAAACGTCAAAGCAACGGTGTTCCCGAATGAGTGACTTTAGCATAAGAGGGTATGCGGGAGGATGGGATGCCGCATTTTCATGCTGCAGCAACTTTCGAAAGTCACGCATTCAGGAGTTCAAAGGGAGGGAGACAGTGACAATGGAGTTGGAACCTCGCAGTTGTTGCGAGCATCTGTATGACGATGAGGGTGCAAAATGAGACATGGTTCGAGTGATAAATGCGCAGTGACGAGCCTCGATCAGGCTTAGACAGGCTGGTGCAGAAGATTTATTACAACACGGAGCGTCTAGTCGCAGTGCGTGACAATGAACACACAGCCGGTGACACAACGATGGAATGCGACTCCACCCTTAACAGGCCAAATGTTGCTGCGATCAGAGATGATCAGGTTATGTAACTACTGTTATCTCGTGAGATCTCGTGGCTGGTTAGGTTTCCGTTAGACCAGGGCGTTTCTCAGGAACGCGAGGCGAAATGCAAAGAAGCCTGAGCTACATCAATGAGCGACGTACGTGTAATTCCGCCGGGCAGGAACCTCTCGGACCACCGAGCGTCCATGGCAGGGTCGCGTTCGCCATTGAGCCAATCCTGGCTGGTTGCACCTCCTGGTTCCAAACAAAACTAATTTATCTGAATCAGTAATTTAACGACCAGATCAGAGGAGGAGAAACGAACAATGGAGGTATGACTTCACGAATCCCTCGAAGAGAACGAGGTGGTCAGGTTATCCCGAGAATGTAGTTGTTGAAACGCGAAGCTGGTGCTGAGGAGAAGCCAGCATAAGCAGAGAACTTGTGGCTGTGGTGTGGTTCTGAAGCTGAGTGGTGGCGGTGCCAATCCCAGGGAAGCGCCAGGTTGGGATGGGGTGCATTGTGATTTCGCAAAAGCATCTTGTGTTACATTCGCCAACAAGCGTGCCAATCAGTGACATGCATTCGCTTTTGAGAATGTGGTGGCAGGGGCACGCTATTCACAAACCCCCCACGTTTCCAGTGTACCAATGACGCTTTCAGTCTGTTCCGGGGGTGGTTCGAAAGTAAGGAGTCTGGTTGATGTGTGTCAAATTTGCACAGCCTCGCACTCCTGCAGTTTTTAGGGGTTTCTTTCTAGAAACTAATGCATTACAGACATATACTTTGCGTATTGGCACCGTAACCGGATCTACCTTGAATATGATGAAAGTTCCATCTACCGAATGGTTATCCCGATCAACCTCAACTTCGGGTTTTTGAAAGGGAAACTAGTTTCTACCTTCGACCTGTCACCCTCTATTCCCTGAAACCACGTGGTATAATAGCCATACAGCAGCAGCCTTCGAGTCACGAGGACCACGTGGCACTTGGAAGAGGGAAAAGAATGTACCTTTTTCTAGGGTTACCACCCACTCAATCGCCAAACCTCGCTTATGCCGAAGAGGATGCGGCGGCGCCGAGATTGGACCACGCTGGCAACGCAGCAGTCTTAGCCACGTGAGATAAATTCCTGGATAGAAAGGGACCCAATATGCTGGAGGAGCTTGCCTGCGATGCCCAACAAACTCAGGGATCCATACACACAATAACAAATACCTAACTGGAGCTTGATAATGGTCAGTAGGCTTTGGTTGTATAAAGAAAATGCACACGCCATTGGAAATACAATCGGTAGTCTCTGTTTGAAAATAAAGAGTGAATTTTTTAAGCAGCATGGATCATGTGCACAACATGAATGGTTGTAAATCAAGCAAAAACACAATGTGACTATTTAGTTATGGCATCTTTATATACGGTAGTACACGGTAGCTCTTCTTAAACCTTCTTCTCCCACTGGAATCCTCTATAAAATGGTTGGCCATACAGCTCGAATGGAAGAGGAAGTGTTGCAGCAGGAGGGTTATAACGAGCCCCTGAAGGGTCAGGAAATTCTTGCCAAACGGGAGACTCACTGCTGTGAAAACTGCATCCGAGGAACAAGCGCGGCCCTGATGAAGGCTCTGAATGGTTAAGACCTAGCGTGGTCCCAGAGGGGAAGGGGGTCCAGGGGAAGGAGGGGGGATTGGGGGGAGGGCGGGGGTTAGGGAGGGGGTGACGAGGAGGAGAAGGAAAGATGGGGAAGTAAAGAAGGAAAGAAGAGGTGAGGGAGGGGGGGGGGGGGGGGGGGGGGGGGGGGGGGTGTATATGCAATCATGAGATGAGACGAGAGCAATGCAGAAAATACCTTTCCCTGGTTATCTACTATCTGAGAAATTATAGTGAAACGGAAACACTGGCACTCACTTTCTTGTGAGCTAAACTCACCCTGTGCAGCACTTGCTGCTTGCTGAGGCTGCTGCACGCACTCTGTTGCAGACCCTGAGACGGGGCTTTCAGGAACGGCCTTGCGGCAGGCAGACGACGCTTGGTTGCCCATAGAGCCAGTGCAGGTGTTTACTATCATAAAAATAGTAATATCAAAACAGCTCAAAAGGCACCCTGTAATGGCAGTGCAAGTGTCAATCGGGTTGCCGCCTGGGGGCTCACCACCACCACCACCACCACGGCTGACTGCAGCTTCTCGTTTCCGGTCCCCCGCTCATCATGCCATGCGCTCACACTCACTCAAGATGAGTTCAAGATGAGTGTGCCTGCTGGGGAGTCCGGAGTGCCACAGCAGCACGTGGGAGAGGCGATGAAAGGTGGGGAACGAGGGAAGAGGGTCGGGGGTTGTGTGGGGGCGGGGAAAGGGAGAGAAGGGCGGTGGGGAGCGGGAGGCGGAGAGAATGAGAAGAAGGATCAGTGTCTCAAGAGCGAGAAGAGAAGGCATGCGCCAAGGGAGGAAAGATAACAGTCCAGTCGTTGGTCTGTTTATATGGGAAACTCAGTGTTTTATTGTTTTCTCGTTTTAACCCCTCTTCAACAATTTCCCTCTCCTTCGCTTGTTGAATGCACTTGCAACCATTCACGGGGGAAATGTTTAAAAGCACAGGGGCGATACACTCAAGATGGAGCGTGAGAGGCGCGAGGAGCGACTGGCGAAACGAGTGCGAGCGGGAAGGGACGGCGGAGGCAGGGCTACGTCGCGGGGGGTTGACGGGCGCAGCACGAGTAGCACAGGTTAAGGGTGTGGACTGGAGGGGGTTGCAGAACGCACGGGAGCAAGAGGCGACCGAGGCAAAGGACGAGGGGCGAGGGGCGATGGGTGAGGGGTGATGGGTGAGGGGCGATGGGTGAGGCTGGCGTTGCTTCTGGTCGTGAGGACCCGTCAGGGAAAGTCGCGGGCTCACAAGTTACGTTTCCCCCCACCGGCCGCAGACCTGCGTTCCTTCGCTCGCACCTGCAGCATATACCGGTAGAAGAATTTTAGTTTTGAGGAGCCTCAAAACTAGGCGCCTCAAAATAGGCGCTTCAGAAGCATAACGTTTTCCCCCCACCGGCCGCAGAGCTGCGTTCCCTCACTCTCACATGCAGCACGTACCGGTAGTAGATTCCAGGTTTCGAAGCGCCTCAAAACTAGGCGCCTCAGAATAGGCGCTACAAGAGTACGCGCCTGAAATCCAGACCCCCTACAGGAATTGCAGAGCTGTGATCAATCGCACCTGCAGTATGTACCGATAGTAGATTCTTTCGCGAACGGAGCCTTCACGCGAAAGGACAGCGGGGTTGTGTTACGACGATTTATTCCTCACCACGAGAGAAATACTACCCTCGAAAAGCGAACTCCAGCGGAAGCATAACGCTGATGACGTATTCCGCTAAGAGTTTCCGGTTTACCGACAGTTGAGGTGTACTGTTACGAGTGCAATTGAGTGAACGAACGAGAATTGCACTATCTAAGCAAGAATACAATGAGCGAAGGCATGAGCGAAGAATATATAGCGAAACTACAGTGGTAACAGTGATGGACTGTGGTTGTCGCGCGACGAGCCTGGGACTGAGGTTTGGAAAATGTCGAAGCGGAGGCCCGGAGCGCGGGTTACCAGCCGAGCCGTGGGGTTGGGGTGCGATGTGCGAAAATGGCGGGGAGATTGTCGATGCGAGGATCGCGAGTGGTAACGGTGCTGACTGAGGCGCTACAGTGATGTACGCATTGAGCAGGAATGCGAAGTAAGGAAAGTGATTTTCCTTACACTACCCCTCCTAAGGAGGTCCTCCTTACGAAAGAGCGTGGACGTCCCTGAAGTTCCGGCTGCGCATATACACGGTGAGAACAGGGTGGTTGTCGATTCTGTCCAGGGGAACCCAGTTGTCCTCGGTGGGTGTACGGTCTTTCCAGCGGATCAGGAACTCGATCTTTCGGGCTCCTCGAGGGTCGCGAACTCTGTGGCTCAGGATTCTGTCGGGGGTGATGATTGGTTCGGTTGGCGGTCGTGCCATGCTGGCTGGGCGATTACGTGGGAGTTGGCTTGTGGATGGTACGTAAGGGCGAAGCAGGCTGACGTGGAACGAGGGGCTGACGTACCAGTCAGCAGGGAGGAGGAGGGGGGCGGTGACAAGTGTTATCATATGGCTAATTCGAAATTGCCCACAGTATCGAGGGCGGAGTTTTGGGGTGATGGGCAGGCGGAGGTTTTGAGTGTCCAGTAAAACGAGGTCGTCGGGCTGGTAAGTGACAGGTCTGCGGTGGCGGTCGGTGTTGCGTTTAGCGATGATGTTTGATTTTTTTTATTGCTTCTGCCGCCCTGGTCCGTGCTGCTTGCAAAATCTCGGCGAACTATTGTGCGCGTGGGACGGGGTTGTCGGGATTCGGGGTCATGGGTACTGTTGGGTCTTGTCCGTAATTCAGGTAAAACGGTGACTGTTGGGTCGTGGCGGATGGGGCGTTGTTGTATACGAATTCGATAAGTGGCAGTTGCTGTTCCCACGTGTTTGGATCGTCGCACGTGGCCCGAATGAGCTGCTCCATGGTCTGGTTTGTCCGTTCGGTCTGTCCGTCAGTCTCGGGGTGATACGATGAACTGAACTCTAGGCGCGTGCCGAACTGCTGCCACAGGTTTCGCCAGAAATTGCTAGTAAACTTCGTGTCTCTGTCGCTGATGATCGATGCTGGTATCCCGTGCAGTCGAACGACGGTAGAGATGAAGAGGCGGGCTGTTTCCTCGGCTGTGATTGATTTCTTGTAGGCTGCGAAGTGTGTCATTTTTGTCAGTCGATCCACGACGACCAAGATTGCGTCATTCCCACTCGCCCCGGCCGGTAACCCCGTGACGAAGTCCATCGTCACTTGCTGCCAAGCACGCTCTAGAGGTTGGATTGGTTGCAATTGTCCCGCCGGCCGCTTCCTGGTTGACTTCATGATCTGGCAAGTGGGACACGACGCCACATGTCGTTGCACGTCGGTCAACATTTCGGGCCAGTATTAATACCGCTGGAGCTGCTGCCGTGTTTTCTCTACTCCGAAATGTCCCGAGGCAACTCCGTCGTGTGCCTCCTGTAACAGTAATTCCCGTAGTAGTGTGTACCCTGGTACCCAGATGCGGTCGGTCCCAGCTTTTACGTAATAGACTCCCTTGGCTGCAGCGAATTGCTGCGAGTTTCCTCCTATGAAGAATGGGTCTGTTTGATATCCGTGGGTAAATAGTCCTGTTAGTAGCGGGCTGGTCTGGGCGAGTAGTATCGCATGGATCTGGGCAGTGGGGCGGGTCAGTGCGTCGGCGATATTCGAGGCTCCTTTTTTATAGGTGACTGTGTAGTGGAAATTTGACTCGAGGAAATCGAGCCACCGAATCTGTCGTGGGTTGAGGTGGGGATGTGCACGGAGGTACTGTATGGATCGATGGTCTGTCTGTACTGTCACGTCTGCGCCGGTCAAGTAGCAGCGCCACACTTTGAATGCATGCATGATCGCGAGCATTTCGCGGTCGTGTATCGGGTAATTTCGTTCAGGCGGATGCAGTTTTCGTGATTCGTAGGCGATGGGCTGGAGGCCGTTGCCGAAGTCCTGTAATAGTACGGCTCCAATAGCGATGTTGCTTGCGTCTGTAACAACTTCGAAGGGGCGATGTGGGTCAGCGATGCGTAGCACGGGTGGTGAACAGAGAACAATTTTCAGGGCAGAGAAGGCAGCATGCTCTTTCTCCCCCTACGTAAAAGCGACCCCCTTGCGCAGTAAATCTGTTAGCGGGGCTGTTAAACGGGCCATGTCAGGGACGAACCGACGAACGTAATTAACGAACCCTAAAAAACTCTGTAGTTCCGTGATGTTCGTCGGGGGATGCCACGCTTTTACGGTATCCAGCTTCTTGGGGTCGATTTCAACTCCAGCCTCCGAAATAAGGTGCCCTAAGAATTCTAGCCTGTCCCAGAAAAACTCACACTTGGAGCCCTTGGTGAGTAACCGATGTTTCTCTAAAATTTTAAACACTGCTATGAGATCGACTAAGTGTTGCTGCTGGTCGCGACTGTAAACGAGGATGTCGTCGAGGTAAACTATCATGCATTTATCTAAAAGTGTGTCAAATTATAATCTTGTGTAGGCTATAGTGGGGTAGCTCATATAGGGTACACATTTCTAGGGTTGCATATTTGTATCACTTCCATTCCATAGTCATTCATTCTCGTTCTACTTTCCTCATGGTATCGAGCAAGTTCCCCCATGGGAACTGTGCCTAGGGCCCACCACATCGAGCCTTTCATTTCTGGCCCGAAGCGCGCTCAGTCTGAGTCGCGCTACGGGCTCTCACTTCGTCGAGCTGCCCTAGCGGCCCCAACGCCCTAGCGGCCCCATCGCCCTAGTGGCCCCGCCGCCCTAACGGCCCCGCCGCCCGTCGATTCGGCCCCACCACCCGTCGATAAGGCCCCGCCGCCCTAACGGCCCCGCCGCCCGTCGATTCGGCCCCGCCGCCTCTCTCGCTGCGGCCCCGCCGCCCTTCTCAGCGGCCCCGCCGCCCTTCGCTGCGGCCCCGCCGCCTCACACTGAGGCCCCGCCGCCCTTCGTCGCGGCCCCGCCGCCTCTCTCGCTGCGGCCCCGCCGCCCTACTCAGCGGCCCCGCCGCCCTTCACTGCGGCCCCGCCGCCTCTCCCACTGCGGCCCCGCCGCCGTTCGTCGCGGCCCCGCCGCCTCTCTCGCTGCGGCCCCGCCGGCCTTCTCAGCGGCCCCGCCGCCCTTCGCTGCGGCCCCGCCACCAACCTTGCGGCCCCGCCGCCCTTCACCGCCCGCTCCGCCCGAGCCGCCCGAGCCGCTGAGGAGCCGGGCCGCCCGAGCCACCTGAGAAGCCGAGCCGCTGAGGAGCCGAGCCGCCCGAGCCGCCTGAGCCACCCAAGCTGCCCGACCCTGCTGAGCCGCCCGAGCTGCCCGAGCCGCTGAGGAGCCGAGCCGCCCGAGCCGCCTGAGCCGCCCGAGCCGCCCGAGCCGCCCGAGCCGCCTGAGCCGCCCGAGCCACCCGAGCCGCCCAAGCCGCCCGAGCCGCGTGAGGAGCCGAGCCGCAAGTACCG